GTTTCTTACCCTCTTAACATTATCGCCTTTCGTCTAATTTTTTATTTGTACCAAAAAAAAGATTGACCTTTTATTATTATTATCACTATTATTATTATTTTATTTAAATATTTAGTACAAAATAGGGTTTTGATCGTCTTATTTAAAGACCAGTATTATTTGTTATTCGATGGTTGTTTATGAATGAAAATATGAATTGATATCGTAAGACATAATTTTGAGACCCGAACTGGCCCGACGGGTCGACCTGAGACCCGGTCGACCAGGAGCTGCAAACGGTCCGGGTGGGCTAATTGGACTGGACAACAAAGGAACCGGTCAAAACCCGGTCGACCCGGCCCCAATTTCTATTTTTTTATTATTTTTTATTTTTTAAAATATTTTTTGTTGTTAAAAAATAAAACTAGGTATATATATATATTTATATGGTAAATATTTATCATTAAATATATATTAACAACACTTTAGTGTGCAAATTTTACATACAAAATATATAATTTTGTTACTTTATGTATATTTATATGACAAAATACTCTATATATAATTTTAAAAATTTTAAAATTAAATATCCGGTTCAACAATTGACCCGGTGACCCGGCGGTTGATCCGGTAACCCTGAAACTTGCCCGGGTCGATTCTTGTGCTGGGTTTAGAAACTATGTCGTAAGGTGTTATTGAGATTGCAATCTCATTAATATCATTTCACTCATGCGCTTTCCTACTTCACTTTTTGAAATTTGAAAAAAAAAAAAAAGAAGGCTTTTCAACTCATGAAAAACTCATGTGTAACTAATTTCACACACATGACACATAGATAACAAAGTGGGGGCCCACTCAAAGTGAGTATCCAAGGCAACAACAGATGATGCTGTGATTCTATCCGCCATATTTTCTTCAGAGATTTCTTTGTCTGCTTTAATTTGTGTCTAAATTAATTATAAATAAAAAGTCATTTATTTAAATGAATGCGACTTTTCATGATCTGCTCAGTCCCCCACACAAACAAGGGTCGTGCCTTTTCAAAATCCAATAATAATAATAAATAATAAATAATAATAATTGTTCGCATTCCAATTTTCGTAATTATTATTCACTCATCAGTATTACTCGAGCGGGAATAAATAAGCCGTTAATATTTGAATTTCAAATGTATAAAAAAAAAAGAAAAAAAAACGGCTCACACTAAACTATTATTGGCAACGACAAAACTGAACAGTTTTATAAAACGTTATAAAAGTAGGAGAATGCTACCATCCCGTTACGGAATGGTTCCGTTGTGTTTTCTAGCCATAGATATACATGTAATCTAATGATGGGTAGTTAATCAAACGCTTAAAAACACAACGGAACCATCCCGTAACGGGATGGTAGCATTCTCCATAAAAGTAAAACACAGTACACATAGTAATGGACTGACTAGTCCAATCTCCACTCGCCACGTA